TATGTTTCATTTATATATATCTTAATTCTGTGGTCTGTAGAAACAATCTTATAGGTAAAAATATCCATGGATATTGGAATTCAACTCTGCCAACTCAAAAGGATGAAACACAGATAAAAAAAAAAAAATGGAAATGGGGGAGAACAAAGGAAGTTTGGGGAATATACATTCGGATGACACGTTCCTCAGTAAGATATAATTTTTTCTCAAGAAATTTGTTGAAGAATTGCTACAAGAAGGTTCTTCACAAAAATGGTTCAGAAATGGTCCAAAATAAGGTACATAACCAGATATTGGTGCAAAATACCAGATGATGTTGTTTCTTATATAATCCTATTGGAAATCACGTAAAATGCTAATATCTCATTTTTATTACTGTATATTTTTTTCTAAGCACTTTTACAACAGTTTAGAATTTACAAGAATGAAGATAATTCTAGAAATTTTTGGTATGTTACAAAAAGATACAAAAACAGATATTTGAGGAACATGTTGTCAAACCTTTAACAGTACTTCCAGTTGACATTGGAAGTAAGTATATCGTTCAACAAAAAATGATGTCAGACATCTTTAGTGAAGATGATTATTCAAATTCGTGCTGATATCTGCAGAAATGAGTACTTCTGGTTAAAGTTTAGAGTCTATGATACAGGTGAAGAGAGGAATAAATGGATGGGGGTTGGTAGGATTAACATAGCTTTGTAATTGTTTAGATTGTTCAGGGCATGCAATAACTGTTTACTCTTGACACCTGGGGATAAGATATTCACAGAATGTTTTGCATTTTTTGACTCATTTGAAGAATTTCTCTGTAGTTCTTTTCTCTTATGATGGTACCAATAACCTCGGCTCTTATTGTAATGGGGAACACACTGACACCACACAAATGAAGTGGAATCAAAAGAATCAGACTAAATTATCTCCCTCTGTTGGGAAATTACTCCCAAGATCTTTGTAATTTCTCTAAAGCACTGGAAATTACACAAAAGTGTTGTACACTTCTATAAACATTGTACATGTTGTGTAAGTAATTCAGATGTTAGGCGAACTCTGTTGTACACTTCTATGACTTTTGTAATGTAAATAATTCAGGTGTTCCAAACTCTGTTTAGAATTGGAGCAGTCAGACATTACATGCAAGTCATTCTTTTCTTAGAATTTTAAAGTAGCTCATTGTGGCCCCACCTCAGATAAAGGGGCCATATTTTCACGGGGATACCCGTATTATCAATATAGTACAAGATTATCTAAATCCACTTCTCTTTTTCTCCTTCGTGCTTTATGCTTTTGAGAACATTTTCTTAAATGTATGGATTTCTTTGTAAACACAAGTTTTTGAAACAGATAACGGGAAACCTGATTTTATAGTTAAAGCTCAGAAGGTAAAAGCATGATGGTAAAAATACCCAGTAGTGCAGTAGTTGAGAATGCTGCTATGACTTTTTGTGATTTCTTCTGTTTTCTTTTAAGAAGAATGAGTGAATGAACATTGCTTTTGTAAGATAAACCCTACAAGCTGAACTATATGTCTCAGCCATCAAATTAGCTTGCTGTAGGGTAGGAGGTGCTAGGCCGATTAATTAAGAACCAATTATAATTCTGGCACCGAATCAGCATTCTGATCTGTGAGACCATGCCCCAGCAAGTTTTTTTTGGCCATTGATAAATAGGGGAAAATTTTACCTTCCCGTCAAAATATCATACAAACAGCAAGTGTCTGCAAACAGTTTATTTTAATTAGGTACAGCATGTGCAGGTGGAAGACTATTACAGACTGAATATAATCAATAGATCTTTTGTTTATCCATCTGCTTTTCCTGGAGATGTAGACGAAATGCAGTTCAGTAAATTTCCTTGCATCATGCGTGTTAGAGATGCACAGATAATCAATTGTCAACGTATAAGTAAATGGTTGATACTATATATACATATATTACATAGACTTCTACAGGAAATTGGACAATTTTTTTCTTGGGTAGTTTATTTTGTTGTTTTTTTTTAGAAAAGTCAATGAACCTACTTGCTTTGCTAAATCTCCGACGAAAAAAAAATTTCTTTAGTTGTACTGACTTGAATAATGATTTCAGTTTTGTGTTTTCCGTGTCTGTCAATCTTGTAAATTTAACTGAGGAAATTTGAACACTTCAACAGCAATAGTTCTCTGCTGTTAGGAATTGACTCTATGATAATAATTTAACAAAAGAAATAACTTCTCTTTGTTGACTCATATTGATTACATCCATCTGAACTTGCAATAAGACCATTCCCTACTGCATTTTAAGCTTATTTCAGCAGGAAGCTCCTGTATACTGTATATAAGGATATACATGTACTGTATATCTACGCGGTATTTTTTCTCGGTTTGATACACGGTCCAAAATCTCCACTTTATGTTCAGTTCATTTTTCGGTCGGGATCGTTATTCAGTCAGGTTTAGCATAGGTAAAAACATGTTACTCGGCATAATTAAGTATCAAAAACATAAATTTGTGAGGACTGATAGTTTGTAAAATAATCTTTAACAGTCAAATCATTCTAATCAATTTTTTCTAGTCAATTTGCATGTAAATTAAGTGACTAGATTTAGTAAAAGAAACGTAAAACTACGTTGAATTTGTTTGTTTTATCAAAATGAATTGTATCGAAAATAACTGTACCGAGACAAAATTATACGGTACGTACCGTACCGTGAAGGAGGCATATCGTTTCACCCCTACTGTATATAGGGAAATTTTAGCCCCAATTTTATTTTTGCACCATCAGTGGGTGAAATCAAAACAAGCAAATGTACAAGAAAAGGTTATTTCTGGTTTCTTTTAACACAATTGTGTCTAGATGGCTTTGCAAATTTATTAAATAATCCCCCCCCCCCCCCCAACAATTGGTCAAAAATAACACAGTGCAAAAATAATCCTGTATAGTATTAGAGTATTATTGTCAACATTGCTAAAATTTTAGGACCTTGACCTTTTTCTTTTGACCTTGACCTTGATTTTTTAAATTTTCCGTAGACATGATGTAGCAAATTTTATGCAACTTGGCTAATGCAGATTCATATTTTTCATATGTTGATTAAAATTGTTGCTTTAGGAACTGTTCCATTGTAATGGGATTCACAGCAACATACAGACCTGACTAGACACTACAAGATTTTGATAAATGCCTTCCAGAGTATTTTGGTTGCAAGAGAATCTCTATATGATGTATTACTAAAAAGTCTAGTGGATATGGTGTTTTCTGAAATAATAGCTGCTGGGACTAAACTGGGCGATTAATGTGTTAGGGGACTGAAGCATGGCAGATGAGAAGCCAGCATTGATTTCTGTGTATTTTATGACACTATTGAATTTTCTTACATTAGCCACAGAAACACATTATATAACAGTGCTTTGGCATCAGTTAATTTACAGGGGCTGCATTTAAAGAGGACATTATAATGTACAGGGTTGACACTTTATTGTTGGGCTGTGCAGTGGAGGAAACATATTATCAGGATTTAGGGGAGCCCTAGTAATTTTGCTTTTTGGGAGAAAGTGATATTTTATATGCTTAGCTCTGAAGGGAAAAAAACATTTGTGGAGCAAAAGCTTATCTCCCCCCAACCACCCTAATCCTGTGTAGAAGAGCAAAAACCTAGTTTGCTAGTTCATCGATTAATTTCTTGAAAATTTGACAATTCTTTCATGCAATAATAGCCCCCCCTTCTCACCCTCATCAATAGTAACCATGGTAACAGTGCTAAACCTTAGGCTTTAAATAAGTCCACTTTTATATTATACCAGGTTTGTTGTTTTAAAGTGAAAAGCCGAAGTATAAATGAAACAAGCTAGTATACATGTACATGTAGACTTTTCAGTCAAAGAATTCTTAAGAAATTAATGGTTAAAACTCTCGGTCTTTTTTCCATTTGGGAGGGGTGGAATCCCTAATTTCAGAGATTTCACTCGAATAATCTTTTGAATACCTAATATAAGATGCTTTTCCTGAATACTGGCATGTCCTCATTTCAATGCATAGCTTCAATATAAATTGAAATATTAATTATGACTACAGCTTGCAAGTATTACCCATAAGCACATAGGTGAAGGGTTCAAGAAATGAAACCTCAGTCAAGACAGCTTCCTTGAAGATTCAAGGAGCCATTGTAAAACAGCAGATTTCCTGAATGTGTCCTTATTGAAGTCCCTTGTTAAGCATCCAGTTTGTGGTTATGAAGTAAGAATGATTGGCATTTCCTAATGGCCTCTTGTTACAACTTCTTGTGCCATTGAGGTGAAACTTATGATAAGATGTCTGTTCAGCGTTGGATCTTTGATGGAATTTAAGGGTTGGAGAAAATTACCCAAATGATTGAAAAAATAGTTTATTGCTCACAGGGGTTAATGATAGGAGTTGATCTTGTCTGTTTGTTTGTCTATCTTATGTTATAGAAAAACTTTATTTTTTGTCAAGGTCAAAGTTACTGCTGCCTTATAAGGTCAAAGTTGTAAGGTCAAGTAAGAATTTGCTGTCACCAGAGACAAAATCCGCAAACCTACCCTGTTTATTAGGCTTGTAGGGGAAGCGGAAGAAGCCAATAGATGACAAGATTAAAAATACAAAAAAAATGGGAGAAATTAATTTTAGGCAAAATGGGATAAAAATATTGATGATTACACATGTATTTGTTTCATTGAATTTGATAAGTTTGACTAGAAATCAAACTAAACATTAATCATATTATTAGGTGGAACATATGCACAGTTTATTTATGTTTACCATACACATGATACTTGTGGAAAGATAGTTTTGTTTATGAAATGAACATTAGAATCAGAAGTGTATATGATAAGCCAGCTGCTAGGTTGAAGAATGAATATAAACTCATCTTAAAACTCATTAAATTAAAAAAAATATTCTGTAACCATGTCAATGATTAAACTTTTTTTTATCTTGCACAGCTTTTCTAATAGTACACTTGAGTAACGAGTCCTCTAATGAAAAGAATTTATTTTTTGTAGAGCTGCACAGCATGTCCATGAGGCTTGTGTCCGGTGGAACGTATAATGTCCGAGCCTCGGAAATGTCCTCTCATCTGCAGGATAGACAGCCCAAGATGGTCACCTGTATCGTCCACTTCCTTGACGACAGCCAACAAGACTTTGAAGTTGATGTAAGGAAAACTTCTGATTGGTCAATAATTAAACTGACAAACCATTTGCATGATTACATGTACATTGATAATTGAACAGTAAGTCCCTACAGAAATATAATGCCCCCCCCCCCCTTCAAGCCTGGAATGAATAATTTAGATTTGTGATGAGGCGATCTTCTATTGAACATGCAGTTAACCTTTCAATGGTATTTCCTGTTTTCCTTTACTCCCTTACATTTAACTGTGACACTTTGGAGAACAAAATGTCCTCCTTACTTAATGAGTTCTTAGACAGATGTGTGGTATGGAACCTATGTTTCACTTTTACAGAAGAAGGCCAAGTCCCAGGTGTTGCTAGACAAGGTATTTGGTCACTTGGAGCTAGTGGAGAAGGATTATTTTGGGTTACAGTTTGTGGACCTCTCCCCTGCCCCCGATGGAATGGTCAGTCATGCTCACCTCCCAGTTGGACCCTACGCAATGGTACGTGGTATAGTACAACCAACAGAAGTGGTGCTAACTTACACATGTATACAGTATAACACGCCTATAGCGAACATGGTTAAAATGAATTGATGCATACAGCGAATTGATTTTCATGCCCCATGGTTTTAAAGTATACTGTGGAATCATTTTAATTCGTGGGTGTCAATGTTCGTGGGGAAGCAAAATTTTAGTTGTTCATGGGGACGAAATTTCGTGGGTTACTTATCTATATGGTAGATTCAGTGAATCAATATGTTAACAAAATAAAAGCTCGTGGGGATGTTAATTCGTGGGTCGGGGCGACCCATGAAATCCATACTTGCCAACCTCCAACATGTAAAAATCTGGTCATGACCAGATTTGGAAAGTAAAAAATCTGGTCATAACGCGTAACGACGTTCACGACATATTTACCTTGATTAAATTATATATATGTAAGTACTTGTGTATTGAGAATTCTTTTATTAAAAAAAGGCTTTAACTTACAATGACAAAAAATTAATATATATTGATTAAATTTACATGAAAAAAAGAGCATTGAAGGTTTCTTTATTCAGTATTGACCTGAATTAAGAGTGCATTTTCTTTTTTAAAAAGAAAGCCTTTTCAGTTTTTGCTAAATTTGAAAGTATTTCAATTTTGGTTTTGAAATTATTTTTCCTCTCTCTTAATTAATTTAATTAACAAGTGCAATATGTATTAAATGTACAGTTAGGCCTACACTATCTTCGATCAATTTATTTTATCTAATGAAAGTTGTTTTCCAAGATTCCTTGATATGTACATGATGTTTCACTTTTTCTCGTTGTTCCTGTTGGCCCTGATAACGATCTAGTTCTATTGGAAGCCATTTTAAATTGACTTCAAACTTTGATTTGTCAAAACAACTCCTAGGTAATTGTTTACACCTGCACTGATAATTTACTGGTACACAGCCTACTGGACATAGCCATGGGCATTGTTTACGTAGATCCAAGCTTGGGTTGTAACTGGAAGTTAAAAGTGCAACCTAATTTACGAACCAAATCCGGAAATTGGGAGATTTTCGAGTTGTTCGGCAAAAATCGGGTGAAAAGCATGACCCGCTGTGTCATAAAAAATAATCGGGTTAAGGGTAAAAAAATCAGGTGTAATCCGACGAAAGCGGGTGAGTTGGCAACTATGATGAAATCCACGAACATTGGTCCCCCACGAACAATGATGATTCCACAGTATTATGAACTTAATGTATATAACAAAGTACATTTATAATCATGATAATGAAGCAAAATCTTTATTCCTGGCACTTTGTTATAAGCGTGTTTAACTGTGTATACATGTTCTGATAAGTCGTACGTGTACTACCAACACAGTCTATAAAGGTAAAATGGTGCAACCTACACATGTATGTATGGTACTTAATATAATGGTAAGTGCCACTAAGTGGTATGACCTACATTAAGTTTGAATGGTACTAACTACATGTATACTGATAAATGGTATGAACTACACAAGTGTATGTGGTACTTTAATAGTGAGCAGGGGTCTATCGACAACTTGTACAAATGGAGGAAATCTGGGTTGAAATCCACGCGTTAATGTTCAATGAAATTTTAATGGGAATGCGGGAAAATTCTAAATTCCTAGTAATTCTTTGTGGTGCATAGCAACTTTAAGGTTTAAGGATTGCAACAACTTTCTTGAAAAAAAAATGCAAACAAAGATTTATTGCAATTTCCATGCCACAGAACTATCTTTTGGATCTCACTAAACATGACTTTGAATCTGACATCATATTTTCAATGCTTAAATGGCTCAGGTATTTTCTATTTTGTCGGAAAAATCCAAGAGGTTCGGAATCTCGATCCTGATGCATAAGAAGTTTACAAAGTTTGAGAATATTTCTATTTGTCATAAATATCGTTTGAATAAAAAAGGATTGTACAATACGCAGTAAACATAGGCTAAAAGAGTTTACTAAAAATTGATCGTCATAAGCAGAATGCAAAACAGCATTTGAGAGGTGTATAGAGTTGTAGAATAATTCTTATAAAAATGAAAATACGCTCACCCTAATGGTTTCACAGTCAGACATATTAAGTTGTATGAGCTAATGCTGTGTTTATTATAATGGCAAATTGATCTACCTACCTATTTTTTGCTTCTTTAAAGCACTCTGCAAGAACTAAATCTTCACAATAACTGCAAGCCTGTTATATTTGCCATTATCCCATGGCATTGTGGGAGCATAAGAATTCTGGGAAGGTTTCACACAAAAATTTGCTTAATGAATATATACATTTCAGATTGAATTTCCTCTGGTCTTACATGTTAGTCTATAGAGCTCACTTTCCAAATGTCATGAAGCGCTGCTATATGTGTTGCTAGCTGCACTCACTATTAAGTCAAACTACAGAAAAAACTCTAAGCAACTTATATGTCAAAAACATTATGCAGTGTTAAACCACATTGCATATTTAGTTATACATTACATATACTTGATTGGGATGTTGGTATCTTTTAGGAGCTTTCTGTTTAATTCTGATTTTTTCTTACAGAGATGGCTTGATCCTCTAAAGACAATAAAGAAGCAGTGTAGAGGTAGGTACTGTATTTAATCAGTAGTTCACTTGAGTGAAAGGCTCAGGTGAGCTTTACTGAACTGAGGGTTTCTTCTAGTCTGTCTGTAATCTGTTTAAACGTCAATTTGTTAGCGCATCTGAGCTGAAAGGCTCAAGTGAGCTTTTCTGATCATATTTTTTCTGGCATCTGTCAGTTTGTCGGTCGTAAATTTTTACACTTTGATCTTGTTCTCCAGACCCAATTCAAGTTTGTTCAAATCATGACCCCTGGGGGTTGGGTCGGGCCACATTATGCAATCAAAGTTTTACATAGGAATATTTAAGGAAAAATCAGTAAAAATCTTCTCAAGAACAGCAAAGCCATCATTAGCAAACTTGTTCAAATCCTCACCCTGGGGGTGGGTGGGGACCATTTATACATTTAATCTTTTCAGTACTTATCAGATTTCTGCTTTTTTGCTAACTGAAGTGCTCAGATGAGCAATGTTGCCCATGGGCTTCTAGTTAAGAAAAGTTCATTTAAATGATAGTAAACATTGCATGTAAAAATATCTTTATCTAGTTAAGAAAAGTTCATTTAAATGATAGTAAACATTGCATGTAAAAATATCTTTATATCATCCTGATATTTTTTAAAAAAAAATCTTGATATACATCCCAATTCAAAAGTGTTTGCAATACCGATCCATAATATATATAGGAAAAAGATTTTAAAATCTGAAAGGTTGATATTTATGTGAAAGCTTTCTAATAATTAAAATTTGATTCTAAATTGTTCAAGTCATGGCTCCGGGGATATTGTGGATCTGTAGTAGGGGTAGTTTTACAATGGAATATGTAAGAAAACATTCTAAAAATTAATTCATGAATACAGGAAAAAATTTTCTTCTCCATTATTAAAAGGCCATGTTAGTCATATTCATATTGAAGAATTCCCATATTGTGTGGAATCAAAGACCCCTTAGAAAGTAGGGTCATATTATGGGGTCATTAAAATCATTATAATCTTGAGAACAGCAGGGCTTAAGTTATTCAGGTGAGCATTGTGGCCGATGGGCCTCTTGTTAATTTCAACTTTTATGAGAAATACTTGAGATTGCCTGTGTTTAAGTGATTTGAGAAACTTTCCAAATATTTAATCCATAAATTACAGAAATTCAAACAACCACTGGTTGAAATTGAAATGGAACATTTTACAGTGTTTTATAAAAATGGAATGTATATTTAATGTTGTGTACCCTTACTTTGCAGGTCCTCCATATGAGTTTTATTTTAGAGTGAAGTTTTATGTTTCTGATCCCAGTAAATTAGAAGAGGAATACACAAGGTAAAGCTGCTGGCAAGATGTGTTATTTTCTGTGGGGAAGTTTATTATAATTATAAGCCAAAGGTGAAATACTAATTCATGTCAAAAGTTGTATAACTGTGGGGTAATAATAGAATTATTAAGGTATCAAAATGTACATTTCAAATGTCATGCTTTATAAAGTTATATAAAATATGCCCCATTTGCTGTGAATTAATCAGTAAATTATCTTTCAAAAAATTTTTATTTGACATTCAGTGACTCCCAGACTTGTGATTATGTGGTCCATTTTTTTCAGGTATCACTTCTTTCTGCAAGTGAAAAGAGACATCTTAGAAGGTCGACTAGTCACTCCGCCCAGTACTTCTGCCCTACTGGCCAGTTTTGCCATACAATGTAAGAAAGACCACTTTGTACTTTAAAGATCTATAAAAAAGAAAAAATACGTTTTTATAACCAGACGTGATATTTTGAGCAAGAGAGTTAATATTTGAATTAAAAGGACATTTTTAAATATCATGCCCTATTGGCTAGTTTTGCCATGTAGTGTTAGGGAGGCTACTCAGTACTTCTTAGATCTAAAGAAATATAATAAAAACATTGAGGTGATATTTCCAGAAAAAAAAAAAACAACTAATTTTTGATTTAAAAGGACATTTTTGAAATGTCCTGCCTTATTGTCCAGTTCAGTGCATTGTTAGGGATGTGCGATTTTATTGGTGTACCGGTATATCATAATTTTTAATTGCATGATATGTATCATGATACGGGGTCGGAAATACCAGTATTTAGGTACATAATTATAAATTCCGGAAATTATTCATTTCAAATTACAATTACAGAAAGTGTAAAAAGTGCTGAAAACGGTAAAAGAACGGCATCCAAGCATCCAAACATATTTGATATTATGTAAATAAAAAATTGAAAAAAAAGTGAAGTTATGTTTTTCCAGCATATTTTTAGGAAAAATTATGAATATTCATTTAAAATCATTATAAAAATTGCTTGTGAAAAATATGATATTATCATGATATTTGGAAAAAAATCGTGATATATCGAAATACAAAATATTTTTTGGCGATACTCATCCCTAGTGCATGGAACACCAGTGTGTTAGTTCATGTTATGAAAGGGAAGATGATATTTCCAGCAAGAACGCTAACAATTAAAAGAAGACAATTCTGAAATGTTAAATTTTCTGTAACACCCACAGTTTTTGCATATAGTTTGGGATACTGAATACAGGGAAATATTTGCCCTCATTTTTGCTCATTTCACCCTTCATTCAAAAATGGGGCTGTTCAGTAGAGGCAGATTGAACACAACTATGTCTTGTTTGCAATTGTTGCAAAGTCATTTGCAAGTGTGATAGGGTGAAAATAACATGGTACATAAATAACCCTGCATTCATATTTATTATCTTTCTGTCCATCATTTTTCTTGTTATTACATCCCTCTTGTGTTTAATGGTAACCCATATATTTCTTGACCTTTGCTGTATATTTATGTAATATGAATACAACGATAGTAAATTAAAACATCAACATAACTTCATTGTTTGAATAATTTTGACAGCTGAACTTGGAGACTATAACCCAGACGAACACAAGGGGAATTATATATCGGACTACAGGTTCATACCTCACCAAACAGAAGATTTTGAGAAACAAGTCTCCGAACTTCATAAACAACACAGGTTTGCAAGAGAGAGAGAGGGAGAGAGAGAGATAAAATATGGTGAATTGATTGCTGTTATAAATGCCCAATTTTAAGTAAAGAGATATAAGTTCAGACTTCAATTAAAACCTCTTAGCACTTAGTTTAGTTTTTAGCTCACCTGAGCTGAAAGCTCAAGTGAGCTTTTCTGATCACCTGTTGTCCGTCATCCGTTCGTCTGTCTGTCTAGCTGTCTGTCTGTTCATCTGTAAACTTTTCACATTTTCAACTTCTTCTCAAGAACCACTGGGCAAATTTTACCCAAAGTTGCTACAGAGCATCCTTGGGTGAAGGGGAGTTTAAATTGTTGAAATGAAGGGCCAAACCCCCTCACAAGGGGAGATAATCAAGAAAAGACAAAAATAGGGTAGGTTGTTAAAAAATCTTTTTCTCAAGAACCACTGGGCTGGAAGAGCTGAAACTGAAGTGGAAGCTTTCTGGGGTAGTGTAGATTCTAAATTGTTCAAATCATTTGCCCCAGGGGTAGGGTGGGGCCACAATAGGGAATCAAAGTTTTACATTGAAATATATAGAAAAAATCTTTTTAAAATCTTCTTCTCAAGAACCACAAGATCAGAAAAGCTGAAACTTACGTGGAAGCTTCCTGGGGTAGTGTAGATTCTAAATTGTTCAAATCACAACCCCTGGGGGTAGGGTGGGGCACAATAGAAAATCAAAGTTTTACATTGAAATATATATATGAAAAATCTTTAAAAATCTTCTCAAGAACCACTGGATCAAAAAAGCTGAAACTTATGGGGAAGCTTCCTGGGGTAGTGTAGATTCTAAATTGTTCAAATCACAACCCTCGGGGGTATGGTGGGGCACAATAGAAAATCAAAGTTTTACATTGAAATATATAGGAAAAATCTTTAAAAATCTTCTTCTCAAGAACCACTAGGCCAGAAAAGCTGAAACTTATATGGAAGCATCCTGGGGTAGTGTAGAATCTAAATTGTTCAAATCATTTGCCCCAGGGGTAGGGTGGGGCCACAATAGGGAATCAAATTTTTATGAAATATATGGAAAAAATCTTTAAAAATCTTCTTCTCAAAAACCACTGGGGCCAGAAAAGCTGAAACTTATGTGGAAGCATCCTGGCATAGTTTAGATTCTAATTTGTTCAAATCATGGCCCCCATAGGTAGGGTTGGGCCACAGTAAGTTTTACAAGGGGGGGGGGGGATCTGGTGAAGAACAGCAGGTCCAAAGTAAATCAGATTAGTGTTGTGGCCCATGGGCCTCTTGTTTGCTGATTCACATCATGTGAAGTATAAGTGATATATATATTTAAGTATATTAGAAACAGAACTTTAAATATTTTATTGCATGTGTCTGGAAAAGTTTTTGAGGGTCTGATGTTACAGAACGTTGTGTTATAATTCCAGGGGACAGACACCTGCTGATGCTGAGTACCATTATCTAGACAAGGCCAAGCGGTTAGAAATGTACGGGGTGGATCTCCATAATGCTAGGGTAAGGGCAGTAACTCCAGCACCTTTCTTACCAGTACTTATATATACACTAGAAAGCTACTGGTGGTATATTTCTTTGCAAAATCATCCTGTGGAATTTTTCTGTAAAAGTTTTTATATTTGGGCACATTTCATTTTCCATGTCCCCCTTCCAATGTCTTATTTGACTTTGTTTCACTTAAGTTTTCTGTTTTTTTGTCACTGAACTTATTAAATATACAGTTTTCTCTCTGCAAGCAGAAAAAATATTTATACCTCCAAAAAATATTACTTTGTAAAACATTTTTATTTCTCAATAGATTTGCTTAGACAATGAATTATTTTAAAGAAGCAATTTATAGGGGGACAAATTTCATGATGAATTATGTGTTTTTACTGGTGTTTTGGTGGAGGATTGAGCACGATTTTTGAGTCAGCGTGATATCTTTCTAGGTGTCCTATGATCGAGAGATCCCTGTTAGCTCCCCTTTCTATGTAAGTTATGAACACTGAATAGGGTGCTGCTATTTACCAGGTTCGACCTGTACTTGGCTTCCATTGCATTGATTTCATCTTGATTTGTTTTAAAAAAAACTTTTTTTTAAAAAAAAAAAAAAATAACAGGAATGAATTGCATTTTCTCCAGTAAAATTTCTTTTATTTTTGACACTTTCTCTTTAAAGTAAACATTTTTTTTTAAAGAGAAAAAAGTAAAGTACATGCATTTGCTAGACTTTTGATGACTGTTTTTAGTCTCTCTTTATAATTTTAAATTTTTTAAACTGGAAATTGCAGTTTAAAGTTTTATAAGCTTCGGAATGCTGTGATTTCTTTTTTCTGTTGTCAATAATGTCAAGTTCACTATCACTGCTCTGTGAACATATTAACTTTATTGGGTTTTTTTAATATTAACACTGAATGATGTCTTGACCACAGATACTTGTTAGAAGAATGCATTTTGAAGTTGAATTGTTGATATTTACTTAAAGGAACTGAGGTTTTTTCTTCTATTGAAGTTACCGTTAAAGTTATTTTCTGCAAGAGTTGTTTTCCCCCCTAGCTTAACATTATGCTTGCCTTTAAGCCTAGTTTAGATTCTGAAAGCCTTTGCAGTCTATAAGAAGATATTATATAACCATGTTACTCTCTGTGTAAGAGCTTTCCCATGCTTGTTTACCCTAAGTAAGTATTGCAAAGTGTTCAATACTGGTCAGTATGCAATATATATATTTCATCAAGAGCTGAAACCATGTTGAGTTTTTTTGGAAATGAACGAAAAAGTGTTTATGCATATATTTCCGTAAACCATTGATCCATGTTAGAAAACTGATACTCAAGGACCTATGTTTTTGTAGGGCATGTTTATTGATGCAAACGAACAGGGACTGTGCAATATACTAGTTAGTATGTTTTCTCTCATGTTAACACTGGTAGAGGGGTCTTCATCAACAGTTGATCATTTGTATTAACCCCTAACAAATGTATAACCAATCACAAAGCACAAAACCTCAAAACAGCAGCCAACCACAGACTGTGGAGAGATCTGATTGGTTGATGATTTTAGTGATATCTGATTGGTCAGAATCTGATGTTACTTATGTAGCCAATGTTTGCTGTCATTACTAGACACTCTTAAACTTCTGTTATGTCCCAAAGATTGATTGGGATTTTAGAAAAATTTCCAAGTCAGTGGTTACATGATATTTAGTTTTTGAAAAGATTTTCAAGGAAAATTTGATGTTTCAAAATTCCCAACCTCAGAAATTTTCTCATTGATATAAAGTATGTAGTATTGAAAGGAAAGTCATTTACAAAGAAGCAAAATGCATTTTCTTTTGCATTCAACTCCTGCATTTATTTTTATTTTCTCAGATTACTTATAAACTCATACTTTAGTCTTGATAAAAGCCCCTCCCCCAAAATATGGGAGTTCCATTAAACATTTAACTTATTAACTGAGATTTTAACACCAGTTTGCACAATGTTTTTAGGAATGGTGCATGTCAAATATTTATGAAATTGCATTTTGAGTAATACAAAAATAAAAAAAAGAATCTTAGGTGAGATTGCTACATGTGTCTGATCCAGAGTGTTTTTCAGGCTTGAGAACATTGAGCAAGTTAAAATATGTACACTGCATCAAGGTGTTAGTGGTTTTATAGTAGTTATCTCCCTTTGACTTTATGTAATCAATTTTTTTTCTTACCCTTTACTAACAAATCTGAATTTTTTTTGTTTTCTTTTTTACTTTTCTGAATTTATCTGTTGGAAAGTAAGAAAAAAAAATTCATTCATTGTTAAAAAAATGAGATGTTTGAGTGAAATTTGATTTACCTCATAAGAGCAAAAAAGAGATTTGTTTTTTTTAAATAATAAATGTTTTGTAAATGACATAGAAAGTTTAAAAGTAATATTGACAGAGTGGAACAAAATAACAGATCTGAAGTTAACACGATTATTTTATTTTTTTTTGTAGGATCAGAATAATATAGATATCCAGCTAGGCGTCACGTCTGTGGGGCTCGTAGTCTTTCAAAACAATGTCAAAATTAATACATTCCCATGGTAAGTAGGAAAATGTAAATGAGGAATTCATGGAGGTGACTTTCTTATTTCTTTTCTATATAAATATTGAAAAGAATATATGTCCTCGGCTTCCTGTCTCTATTTGAATGCATGAGACAGTGCTTCAAACACAAGTTTATATACTGTATATCAGGAAATTTTCGTGACAGCTTATTTTCGCAAAATAGGAAATTGAAATTTTTAAGCGAGACAAAATTTTCATGAATGCTAGTTATTACTATATATATCTTACGCTAAAAAATATATGGGAGAATGAAATATTTGCGAGCTGATCGTCTTGCGTAATTATGCGAAAATAAAGTTATCGCAAATAAAAAGTAATTAACAGTACTTTCAGTTCCTGTCAATTCATTAAACATCTGTAATTGTTGATTATGTATTTATTTCTTCAGGGCAAAGATTGTAAAAATCTCATTTAAAAGGAAGCAGTTCTTCATTCAGCTGCGAAGAGAAGTGGTGAGTATACAGTGTTATTTTTTAGTCATTTTTTACGTATTTTAAATTTTTTTAATTTTTACGTTTAATTCAGATAGAGTTTCTCATTATTGTTCAACCACTCAAACATAAAATCTTTTAATGTCCTAGGATTTGAGGGGAAATTTTTTTTTTATCCAAACAATCATTAATGATTAATGACAAGATCAAATCTTCTGAGCTCTTTATTTTAAATTCATTACTAAAAAGAAAGACGAGAAAAAAGAGTTCTGGTCACTCATACTCTTTACACAATGCAAGTTTTCCCTGTTTCAGAATGATTCTGTAGAGAACCTGATTGGGTTTAACATGATCAGCTACCGATCTTGTAAGAATCTCTGGAAATCCTGCGTGGAACATCACACCTTTTTCCGTCTGTACGTTCCTAATCCACCCTCCAAGAAAATCTTCTCAATGGGCTCCAAGTTCCGTTACAGGTAAGCTAGTTTTCAGTCGTACATAATGTGGACAGGTGTAAGGTATGGTGTTGTGTGCATTTATAGATTGTAAATAAGTCTCAGAAATATTCTTTCTTTCCTTCTTGTTTTAAAAAATTGGATTCCATTACAATTAAAAACATCATTTTTCATAGTCTAGAAGAACATTTGCCCCACCTATCTCAAGCTCTTTTGTGAATTTTCAATTGTCTTATTATCAATTAAATAACTTCTCATTATAGAAAATATGAACTGGATAATTGATAGAAATTTTTAATTGAAAGAGAAGAGGGATGTATTTTATTTTTACTGATATGGGATGATGGTTATATCTTCACAGTTAACATAATTATTAATGCTAGTAACTAAATATTAATGGACATAGGTTATGATTTTTCCCACTAATATTATTGGTAATGAGTACTAAATGGGAGATGGACTAGATATTGTAAGAAGAGATTGCTATAAAATTGTACCTCTGTTAATTTAGTGTTCAAAATAGTGAAGCTTCAGTCGTCTTTGAGCTGGTTTCGGAGTTATGTCCCTTTGCCCATTTTACTGATGACAAGAAGACTAACAAATGACTTACGAATATACCTCACATCTCCACCTTCACATCATATTCTGAAAAATATTTTCAGCTTCTTTGTGAATTTTTTATTACTGTTAATTTTTTTCCTTACGAAAATTAATATTCCTGAAAAAATTCTTTTACCAAACTGGTTTGATTTGTAGTGTCGAACATATGCATGACTTATGTCCTATTGTTTCGAACATTTCATGGATTTTTGTTTTTCCTTAATCATGGTTGCCACACCTGAGTTGTTTTTTATCCCATACTATGTAATATCACACATAACCTCACAGTAATAGACTTCAGATGAAGAAAGAATGTCGAATTTTGAAATTGCAGTAATCAAGATAAAACTGATTAATTTCTACTCAGTCAAAGTATGTAGAGCTAGAGGAGTGATTTTCTTTTAGGATTTCCTTCTTTTTCTCTGGAAAATAGAAGCTTAGAGACCCTCCAGGCATCTATATGATCTTGATTGTCTCCATAAACATTAGACATAAATCAGTGTTTCTGATCAAAGATTTGTCTGTCGCTGTTTGAGGTGCTTAGTCTTTTCCCTTTCATTTGAGTGGAAACATGAAATGGCAGTCAAGTCCTGAATATTTATATATAATGCAGCACAGGATTAACACAGAAAGTCACCAATTTGTTCAGTTTGAAACAAATTCGCCATCATGGATATTCAGGGGACTTATAACTTTTAAAGAAGACATCACAAATTGTACATGTACAATATATGTGCACATTACATATAGTTGTATATAACATTTCATTATTTCACACACATTAAACATTCTAGTAGGCTAGTCCTAGCAGGCGGTTGTAGAATTTTGTAAATTATTATAAAACTAGATACACTAATACATTAAGTAGACATACCACTGATTGTAGTTACAGTAGTTGCTATTGTAATTACAGTGGTAGAACTGAATTCCAAACTTTGGAAGAGAACAAGAGGCGAGCTAAAATTGAGCGGACATTTTCCAGGTGAGCTACTCCTTTGTCTTCAAGGAACGTCCTATTGTGACAATTCTACAGCATTTTTTTTTCTAAAACTAGATCTTACATGTAAGCAATTAGAAGCTCTCAACCCACTGCAGATTCTTGAATGCTTAGGGGTTTTTTTTTTTTCAATGATGAAAAATGCAGAAAAGTACACTGGGACATTTCCTTGTACTTGCCATACGAGAATTATGTGACTAGCATTCCTGAATCTGCCTTAAAATCATGCATTTTGTGTATAATTTTTTTTGTCGCACTAATCCATAGAAAGCCTGTTTATTTTTTTTTAGTTTTCCTTAACATGGTTTTTGCATGCCTACCTCCCCTCCCATTCTCCCCATTATTTTAGTTTTTCCCTGTACATTTACTTATGGATGCCTGGGCTAAACCTTTTTTTCAACTTAAATCTTCACTGCTTTCTTACACCTCTATACTAACAAGCACTTAATGGCTGATGATGACGTCATTGATTTATTCTGCTAGAATCTATTAATGAGGAGCTTTATTTATATTAGTATTTGAAAAACGTTGTGTCAACCACTTCAACTGAAAAAAGCTGGGACTGCATAAAAAAATATGTTGAAAGAAAGGGTTCATGATATCCAAAGCAGAAACTCAACTACTGTGGAATCGTCATTGTTTGTGGGGAACCAAAGTCTATATGAGTTATCCATGAATTTGCATCCTAGTATATTTGTTAAAGCCAGGATCTTCAAATCACTTCAACATGTCCATCGTTTTTCTATAGATCAGTGTTTGAGATATACTCTGCTCTGCAGAGGATTTGTCTTTTGACCAGTCAAAAGTTGTAATTCAAATGGAAATGAATTCTGACCAATCAAAAGTTATAATTCTAATGGAAATGAATTCTGAACAATTTATTCTAACCTGTGATCTGTCTGTTTAAAACATTTGTTTATTTTTCCATATGAAAATATTTTTTGATTTTTTTTTTTGAAAATATTAAATTTTTTATTTAAAGGTACTGTGATTATAATGAAAATGCCCTATAGATATTTATTCTTGTTTTAATCAGCCTATACAAAATACTTAATATTACATATTTTGTATTACATAAAAACAGAATGATGTATTATATGCTACCAACATTGTAAAGTATTTTTACCCTTTGACATCTAGGAACTTTTTCTTTTCTTTACAACTTTGTCCTGGATTAAGATGGAAAAAGCAACTTTCAGGCATATCAATTCATCAATCTGTATCATATAGAAAAAGATCAAATGCCAAAGCAGATTTTATTACCACTAGGGGGCATTGTGTTTCACAAACTTGTTTTATTTACAGGTTATGGATATTTTCCAGCTACTTTTGAAATATTGTATGGAACTAGTTGAATGTTTGTCTTCATAGTTTAAACTGCTAGTTTTCCACAGCATTTGAAACAAGTTATTTATTTATAACACATATTTGACAGCATGTATGATGCTGAAGGATTGTGATTAGATAAAGCATAAGTCCATGGAAAATCTCAAACTGTGACCTGTTATTCAAGTTTCACCATCATGGGCTTTTAAGAAATTAAAGCTGAAATGTTAAAATCTTAAAAATTATATCATAAAATGGTGTTATATTTACTGTAACCCAACTTTTATTTGCATGCGAGAAAAATCCGCAAGTTTCGCGACCTACTTTAACTCATGAATAATAATCACCACAAACCACTTATTTTGCTTTGTACAGAATGTTTCCTCAGTCATGAAAATTAACCATCCCGGATTGATTTTTAAACTGTTGAATCGCGAATAAAAGATGACGGGAATAATAGTTGGTTTACAGTAATTCTTCTTTATTTTATCATTGCAAACCATGGTTTTGAGTCCACAAGCTCTCAAAGAGAGAATGAGTACAGTCCCTGAAACGTTCTACTTTCCCACTTGAACGGTGAACGAACGCTGAACGAACGCAGAGCGAACGGTGAGTGAACGATGTCTGAACGCAACTTGATGAACGATGTGTGAACGGTGAGCGAACGCAGAACGCGAACGGAGCGCAAACGCGAACGCAAAGTGAACGGTGAACGAACGGTGAACGCAAGATGAACGATATATTCGGAATGCCTCTGATCTTTTCCTTGCATTGAAACTATTTTATTGTTTTATAATGTCAGGTGCCAAAATAAATAAATAAATATATAAATCAATAATAAATAAGTAAACCAATAAATGAATGAATAAATTAGTCAATAAAATACCGGTAATTTCTCCAAAATTGTCCTGAGAAAGACGATGCATGCAAGTTTTTAATCACATGATTTTTATCGCATTAAAACATTGCAATTGTTGCCGAACGCTGAAGTATAAGAGATATTTTTTTTAGTTGGAAAATAAAAATGTTTATTCTTATTTGATAACAAATCAGAGAAAACTTCTGACTTACAGAATGAAATAAAGTGGTTGTAACATCCATTCATATATCTCCGTGTTAAGGCGATTTCGTGTAAAGTAATGAAAAAAAAATTAATTACAAATGTCAGTGGACGTTTTGCATTTATACGCTCGTATTTTAAATTTTTAATACAATAATATATTATGTGTCATTTCTATTTTTCATGATGATTTATTCAGGCCCGTAGGAAGCAAATTCGGTTGGGGGGGAGGGCACAGCCATACATTTTCAGTTGATAGTTGAGGGGGCACTACCAAAAATTTCCTGACAAGCAAAAAAAGAAAAAAAAAGGTCATCAGACTTTTAATTGCGGGGGGCACAAGCATATAGTATCTATGTTTACTATAGTAATCTATATTATTGGGGGGGGGGGGGCACAGCCCCCTCTTGCCCCCCCCGGTTCCTACGGCCATGTTTACTGAGCAGACTTCTACATTTATCTGTAGATGGCCGTGATTATACTCGGACAAGATAATACAAAGATACACATTCATATTACTTGTTATAATTTCAATTTTCAGAACTTGATATTCAAGTAATATGCTGTTATAGTTTTTATTAAACAGACAAATGAGAGAGAGAGAGAGAGAGAGAGAGAGATATTCCATTTTAGCCCCCCCCCCCCATTTCAGGCTTCACTAAATGTTTGTACCTATATCAAACAAAAACTCTGATTTTTTTTCTAAATATATCGGACAGTGAAAGTAACTTTTTTGTTATCAACAAATCATATCCATTTGTTTGACAGTCATACTCGTTTTTATTTTCCTGCTTCAAGTTCACACAAAGTCCACGTGCTTGTCCTGTCAATCAAAATCATTCGACACTGTGCAGGTGTGAAACTTTCGTCACATCGAAGACGAAGTGCGAGTATTTCCAACAAGTTATAACATTTATTTTTATCATTTCTAGATTTGATTCCAACATTTGAATAATAATTGAATAAAATACATTGGGCATTAACACTTGAATTTGAAACATAATCTCTGCCAATTCCAAATACCACCGCCAACACGTGTACATTTTGAACTACTATTGTTTTGTGACTTTTGAGATGCATGTTTGTTTTGAGACTGAAATTTTTGTTCTAAAAAAGACCTTAACTTTTTTTTAAAATGTTAATTAAAATATTCTGGAAATACAATACTGGTTACGTAACCGATTTAGGGGGGGGTATTAATCATATCGAATGGCAAACATATAAAGTTACGGTGAAGAAAGTTTTTTTTTCTCTATAACTATAGACTTTACATATTATAGTAGAGAAAATTCTTTAGTGCATTATATTTTAAATAAATATTTCCTTTAACCACACTACCAATTTAATTCGGTCCAAAGATAATAAATTAACACGATATCCGCAGTACTATGTATAACTCTCAGAACTACATTTGTAGTTCTATCATATTTTCTGTAGTAATTGAAAAAAAACGTGTTAGAAATAAATATTTTCGTAATTTTGCTGCGTAATTATTTGACTTGGATAATTATATCTCCACTAACGATTTGTCGTCTTTAACAAAACAACAAAATGTCGCAGTGCTTGAAGTATTTGCACATTGCCCTTAGTTGAAGTTAATATTTCAGCATTGTTCTACATAGGTACAGAATGTGCTTATAACGACATTTATTTTCCAAAGTAATTTAATAAATAACCTAACAGCTAAGTTAGAATAATAAAAATATATATCGTAGATATTTTTCCCAATGAAATAATGATTCTTCAAACACGATATGTTAGTTATTAAATTAAAAAACCTGTAACTCCTGATCTACAAAAAGATAAGTCCTTTCACTTCGGAGTTCCGAATGACAATGAAAACTGAACGATAGGTGAACGCTGAACGCAAGGTGAACACTTTGTGAACACAACGAAGAGCCAACGCTGAACGCTATGTGAACGGTGAACGCGAGCGCACGGTGAACGGTGAACGCAAAACTGTGAATGGAGAGCGAACGGTGAACGCACGGTGAACGAACGGTGGACGCACGCTGAACGAACGGTGAACGAACGGTGAGCGAACGGAAAAATGGGAAAGTAGAACGATTCAGGGACTGTATGAATCACCTGTGGGTTACCAATGGTGTTTTTACTGAAAAATTAAAATTAGCAAGATTAGAGAAGTTCAATTAATTTCTATTTTTAGGTCACCCAGTAAAAAATTTGCCCGTCGGACGGTCAGTGGCCACACTCGGGATCAGATTATCCAAGAACGCAACTTCATCGATGGTCATCGCAATCTTCCCAAGTCTCATACTTTTGGAGGAACCCCTTCAACCGCTAGACCAAAGAGCAGTAACTGTGTCAATCACTCGTTTAATCGCTATGAGAGCGTCAGTAATCAGAAACGAGCTACGCTTCCTCATGACTACAAGATCGGATCTCCTGCTCGCTCGTCCATACATTCTTCCAAGTCTGATGAGTAAGTTCTGAGCTGTGTTTCTGTGCATTGTATTTCAGGGACCATCTTCTTAAAAAAATAAGCATATACTGTAAAAAGGGAAATTTTTTTCCACTATTTAATTTCGGCATTATAATTGACAGCCTCGGCAATGCTAAAAAAAATTCAAGGTTGCTTATAATAAAATTACAAATATTGTCTAAGAAAATAAATTGAGTTATTCTTGAAAATCACTAAAAATTAATTTAAATCATAATAAATGCTCACTTTTAGGATAAATTGCTTAATTTGCCTGTCACTAAGTAACCTGTAGTATGGTATATTGTACAACTAAAGCACAAATAAAGCACTTTGTACCTAAGTGCTATTGACATAGTAAATTGAGTAAGCACAGTTTCTTAGATCTATGTATTAGATTTAATTTTTAATGATGTGGTGAGTCTTAACCAGAGAATAGCAACAGAGTTTGAAGGTTGAAGTTTTCAATAATGACCTGATCTATTGTGAATATTGATCAGGTTTGTTGTTACAAACTTAAAAGTTACTGTTAGTACAGGATGATTGTATTGAATTACTTTATTGAAACTCACTTTAATTGATAGCCATCCAAGCATACTTTGATTCCTCCACTACAATGAAGTCTCTAATCTAGGACCACAACTACTCAAATTATCTGAAATTACAGTATATCATGTTCAGTGTCAATTGAGAAATACTGTAGGTCTATATCATTGTAGGGTTTAATCAGAACATGTCAACATTGATGTTTTTGTTTTATTCCTAGCTGAATTTCATCTTTTAAGTCAGAAAAGAGCAATATTGACTTGAGACATTAATATTGAACTGATAACTATTTTGTCATATCTACCCAGGGCTGAGCACTGGAAAAATGGTATATTTAAATGTCCTCTAGGATCTCGATGTTTGTCCTGTGGTTAAGTAAAATGACAGTTATTCGTCAAGTGCTTTTATCACAAAGTTTCGTCTTTATCACACATATATGTAAACAAGACCTGAAGAGAGCTTGTCTAAATCCTGATAAGAATGTCCATTTCGTGTCCATTATGCCGATTGTGAATTATCTCCCCTTTGAAGTTTACGTCCCAGTTCAGGTTCTATTTGAATATTAGCGTATGAATATAATTTAATTAAATGATAACATTTGTGCATTCTACTATTGACATTTGAATTTTACTCGATCAGTGTGAATTGTAAAGTCTTAATTCACAGATGGGTGAGGAATTGGGTCCAATACTAAGGAGTTAGAAGTGCATATAGGTCAATTTACAAGCATATTGTACAGAAAATAACATTCTTTTGAGGTCTTGCCTGTTCTGTTTTGAACTCACCAAATTTAAATTATTAATGCATCTCATTGATGTACAGTTCCTTTCAAAAGAATTTTTAATTACATTATTAACATAACCTATTCTATTTGTCGCAAGGAGATAAAACCAAAACTGAATTTTTATACATGAGCAGGGTTGTTTCAAATAGACTGTCAACAAATAATTTAATCTTAAACATGACCTAAGGTACAAAACACAAGTATTGAACCAAGTTTAAGGTGCCAAGTCAAGTACGAATTGTATGGGGTCAAAGTTCAAGTAAGAAGTTTGAGGAGTATCTGAAATGCAAACACATCTTGCTAAACCATTGTGGGTCTTGTTGAAACAGGTATATGATGGGGTGCACTGAGTTAACTTTCAATATTTTATGGTATAATTTGCCCATAAGATAACTGAATGGATTTAATTTTTATTGTAAATCATATTGAAAGAGATCATTTAAACACTTTAATCATGGATGATTACCCCCTCTGAAGAAATACTGCTGTTGACATATGGTCTAATCTGAAGAAACAACTTCATCAGTTATATGAAATATTTCCTACAATGACAATTTTTCACTTGTTGTGATATTTTTAAAAAGTTACTCTGTCATTTAAGAATTAATAAGAATAATTCCAGTCTAGGGTTTCAAAAAAAAAAACTAAATGCCCTGAATGAAATAGAAGGTCTCTTGCTGCGTGGGTCATATAAATTTCAGAGTGATGATTTTGCACTTTTAAACTTCTTACTTGGATGATTTGGAGCTCTTTAAGACATGACACTCTCTAGGTGTTTTTATCAACTCATGTACTTTATGATTTATGGTAGAACAAAGATTTCTTGTGTATGTGCTGAGGAATGGTGGAATGCTAAAAATCAGCTCACCATGGTAACTTCACGGCTAACTGCATTCCCATGACATTTAACTGTACATAAAATTGATTTTTGAATAATTTTTAATCTGATATTTTTTTTTAAAGAAAAAAAATTAATAGATGTAAATGGTGAAAGCTGTTAGAAGCTCAAAGGATTGATGAGTTATGTTGCTATAACACGTAAACTTTGATGTTTGGTTATTGTTAACGAACACAAGAACCATGGTTATTACATGTATAATACTATTAACTAACACAAAGAAAATTTATGTAATTTAAGTCTTTGTGAGCCTGTAACATTACAATTTATGGAATGTTTTATTACAAGACGTAAAATTGACAAACCCCCACCCCTACGCTTTAACAAGTAAATTAATGTTTCCATTTCTGTGGTGACAGTGCTTATGTCCATATGGACATTAAGTAGAATGTTTGTGTAAAGAAACTAAATCAAGAGTGGATTTTCTTTGGAAGTTATGTAAACATGGAAATCTTAAGTTTTAAAATTTTAAAATTACTTAAACTAAAATGACAACATCGTTATTGTTAGAACTTTTCAAACAGAACTTTTTTAAAGAGACTTGGTTTTATTGCTGACAAGCTACAAACGGTGGTGATAAGAATTTTTATGAAAGTGATATTAGCTGTCAAGAGTTTTCATGATCTTGATCAGAAATTGAAAGAAAACTATCTATAGTCGAGATTAATTAATGTAATATGATATTTCTGAAAAACAGGTTTTCTAAAGACATTAAAATAATTAAATTTGCTTTCTTTCATGACAGGTATTGTTAAGCTTATAAGCTTAAAAAAAGGAAAAATTATTATTGAGAGGACAAAGTAATTTGATAGATGTCATGATAGGAGAAGATTGGGGCATTAAAACTGCCGGATAGGACAGGACAGGAAAAATGACAATCATCATTATAGAAGGTGTTATTTAATTACCGTTAATGTGTGAAATCAATTTGAAAACGATTACTGATTTACATTCTGTGCAATGCACTGACTAGCTCTTTTAAAAAAGAAGATAATTTAAGTGATACCACTTAAGTAACTGTAAGTTAATGGGAAAAAAGCTCTAATTTTCTGCTCTGTTTCCTTTCAATTAGTACAAAAGTTTATCAAAGGATTTAAGAATTAAGTACTCTTTTCGATTTTTTCATTGGAATTCCAAGTAATGAAAACTACATTGAAATTTTTTAAATTTACACAGCATCAGAGTGCTATTTTAGGAATTCTACCCTGATGGAATTAATGAACAACGTCTTCTCAGCAGGGGTACGGAGATTTTTCCCGTAAAGTCGGGCAATACACAGGAAAATTGAATAAAATTTCACATAGCTTGATCATACAAAGCATTAAAGTCCCCTTAACCAATAAAATTGGGATTAAGTTTTTGTAGGGTCACTTAATATCAATTATAGAAGTTTTTATCTGTGGTAAGCTGAGGGTATATTCTGATATGGGATGTGAGGGGACTGTTTAGATAGGGAGTTAGCCGAGATAAGAAGTCTGTTGTTATTTGGAATCAATAAGGAAAGAGATCCGTGATCATATGACGGTCCATATACGATGGTCTTGATACCAGAAAGCCGTATTATGTAAATATGGTCGATAAAACCTATCTTTGAGAAGGAACAAAAATTCAAAATTGAAACTAAAATATTTATATCAGGAAGACGGACAAAGATAAAATATCATTTGATTCGTTACATTTGTGTAAACCTTACAGTAGCTTAAAGCATTAAAATGTTAAAATTAATTTGATAAATACATTTATAAATAAAAACAAGAACTGTTGGAAGAAAGACCATTATTGTTAACAAGAATTTTACAAAAAAAAATTTTCTTTCTTTTTTTCCTAGTGATGTTTGTTAGTTGGTTGGGGATGGGTGAGTGGGTGGATGTTGCTTTGGAGAAGGGGGGGGGGGGTTTATAAATAAAATCAGAGTCACCTGGACTGATTTATGAACTACACTGAAGATCCAGTACAGATTAGGGGATCTGTTTTTTGGTTTATAAAGCTACAAAGGGTTGAGAGTCCTTGGATGATAAATAGTTCTATGTCAAATTACAGAGACTACAGCTAGGGTTTCTCGGCATATTGCGTCTCTAGCTTGGCTGACGATTACTGAAAGCTTTGGAAGGAGAACTTTTGTTGCAGTTAGTGTATTAATACCTCGTAAATACTGACAACAGAAATATCCCAGAGAAAAAGCCCCATTTTTAATGAATATTGTGATAGATAGAATACCATATTTACACTTCTTTATGAATTTGCCTTAATGATTTTCTTTTTTGTTGATATTGTTCCAAACATCAGCGCTGTGAATGGATGTGTTGAACCTTCTATAGAGATGACTCGGTCTCCACAGAAAGATTATTAGCTCTGGTTGTCAGGTTGTGTGAATATAAAAATTCCAATATTAGTCGGGGCCGTCGGAGGTTTTTGTGTGATAAAAAGTCCATTATTAAACGTGATTTCAATGATTTTCTGGATGCTATAAATGAGGACTTTTACATTGTTGGTGAAGATTATAGTCAAAACATGAAAAAAAAAAAAACATTGAAGTCGCTGCAACTGAGAACAGAGAAAATATTTTATTAATAAGATCATTTGCCAACTGAATTGAATTGGGTGTCATAAAAATCTTAATATCAGATACTAGATTTTTTTTTCATTTTTGTAAGGTTACTCTATAATTACTAATTAACCTAATACATTGTAGTCCATCAGAAAACACCTGAATAATTTACCTTGTAAAAGTAGTAGGGTAGTTTTATAAATTGAAGGAAAATTGATTTATTTTTT